AAAATTCTAGAAGATAATAATCGAATTAAAATGATGAAAATAATTTTGAAGAAATTACAGTAACAAAATATTCTTATAATAAAAAATAATGATTTTATCACTGTGTCATCTTTAATTATTATATAAGTTGTTAAATTTCAAAGAAGTTTGAATTTAAAATTTTTGAAAATCCTAATTCCTATGGAACAATAATAATAATTAAATATTTATTCAAAAAAGAAGTTATTCATGTTTTCGAATTTTTTTAATTTTACAATTAAAGAAATTCGTAAATAAATGTAATAGAACATGTTTTTGAGTACTTCTTCCTTTATTTTATAAAAATTCAAAAATTTTCACTTTCACTTTCAATTAAAATTCGTAATTGACAAATGGAATTTATAAACAATTTTTTTCTTCATTTTAAAAGAATTTTGAATTTTATTAAAACAATTGTGATTAAGAAATAGAAAGGATGCAAATCCGTTGAGAAAATTTAGGAGCGACAATTATTTTAAAAGTTATAATGAGAATTATTTTGGCGCGGAGTACATAAATGTAACAGAACATTTTTTGAGTATCTATTATCTAATCATTTTTGGAGTGAATCAGAATATTCTTTAGGGTCAGGGAAAAAGTCAAAATCAGTCAGAAAAAAGTCTGAAAATCAGGGAAAATTTAAATTAAATTTTGGTGTCAACCCTGTCAAAAAATGTTTGAAATTGTCTAAAATGTATTCTACTTAAACATTTCTAGAATTTATAAGATTTTTCTAAAAAAAATAGACCTTAGGATATAAGGTGAATTAAAATGAATTATCCCTGTAAAATTTCAAAAAAAAAATGAAAGAAAAAAAATTTCATTGGTGACAGCGGTGAAAATAAAATGGAAAATTTAGGAAAGTAAAAAATTTAGTATGGTGGCAGTGGTGGGAATAAAAATGGAAAATTTAAATGACATACATTTTTTAAAAATGCCTTATCATCAAAGGCAAAATGAAATTGTTCGTTTCTCGAACTGATATTATATAATTGGTTTTGAAAAATATTTTCGAATGTAATTAAAGAAATTTTTCTTCTTTTATTTTCGTACCAGGAGAGAAAAAGAAATGAAGACCGACCGACATTATAATCGCATCTTAATTATGGTTTATCATTTCTTGAATGCTACAGAAATCATCGCTTTTTCGTTTGTTCTCATCTTCTTGTAATTGACTGAAGAGTGGCTGTGCCACTTAACTCGATTTACGGCAATATGTAATTTACGGTTACGCACATATAATAATAAGCTTACAACAAGTGCTTGCATACACCTTTTCAATATGATTTATAATACTTACTCTCCTTGTTATAGTTTTACATAAATATCCCTACATAATACATATATTTGCATTGTGAAAAAAAATTACTTTGTACTTTTCATTTATTATTTTCAAGCATTTATTTTTAAAAATAGTTGAATTTTTTTTAATCCTTTTTTATCAAGGTTGACAAGTGTCAAGGAAATCAGAGAAAACAAAGTAAAACAGCTTGGTAAATTTTCGATTTTGAAGAAAATGAAATTTTTTAAAATTATTCAGAGAAGAAGAAAAAGTTAAGGACAAAAAAAAGTACATGTATACTATGTAAAGAGCGGGTGTATTTTCTCGTTTGTTATATTGAAATGACATTGACGTTTATAAAAAGCAACGCGACATACCGGCCGGTGTATAATTATTATTATAAGAGAGCGAGGGAGGTGGCCCGATTCATTGAAAGACCACTTATAGAATGATGCAGGCGCGCGTAACAGAAAATTTATTTTTTAGCTATTTTTAGTCGCTTTGGCGCTCTGCCACTATTTTAGGTTCTCTCAAATTTCTCACTCCATATTTGGAATTATGTGCGAGCCAAAATATTTTCTCAATCGCGCCCCTTTTTTTTATACACCAACTTTGGCTCTCGCAGCTCTTCTAAAACTATATTTTATATTAAAGTATATACAAAATTTGAAAATAATGTTCAAAATTGGAAAATGCATTAATTTTAATATTTTTAATCCATATATATAATTCTATTGTAACTTTGCTTTATTCGTTTCTATTTGATTTAATTTCTATTATATTTTTGACCTTCTGTTCGATTTTATTTTATTCAATTCTATTCTACTCGAGTCTATTCGCTTCTATACAATTCTATTCAATTTGAAATCTATTCTTTTCTAACTCAAATTTATTCGATTCTATTCGATTCTAATTAAACTTTATTCGATTCTATTTGATTAAATTCAAAATCTATTCGTTTCTAACTGAACTTTATTCGATTTAATTCGATTCTAATTAAACTTTATTTTATTTTATTCGATTTTATTCGATTCTATTTAATTAAATTCGAAATCTATTCGTTTCTAACTGAACTTTATTCGATTTAATTCGATTCTATTTGATTCTAAATAAACTTTATTCGATTCTATTTGATTAAATTCGAAATCTATTCGTTTCTAACTGAACTTTATTAAATTCAATTTTAATTAAACTTTATTCAATTCATTTCACTTCTAATTAAACTTACTCCATTCTATTCGATTTTAATTAAATTTTATTCGATTCTATTTGATTCTAATTAAACTTTATTCGATTCTATTTGATTAAATTCAAAATCTATTCGTTTCTAACTGAACTTTATTAAATTCAATTTTAATTAAACTTTATTCAATTCATTTCACATCTAATTAAACTTACTCCATTCTATTCGATACTAATTAAACTTTATTCGATTCTATTTGATTCTAATTAAACTTTATTCGATTCTATTCGATTCTAATTAAACTTTATTTGATTCTATTTGATTTTAGAATAAAATGAAATAAACTAAACTAAAATAAACTAAATAAAATAAACTTTATTCGAATCTATTTGATTAAATTCGAAATTTATTCGTTTCTAACTGAAATTTATTTGATTTGATTCGATTCTAATTAAACTTTATTTGATTCTATATTTGATTCTAATTAAACTTTATTTGATTCTATTTGATTCTAAATAAACTTTATTCGATTATATTTGATTAAATTCGAAATTTATTCGTTTCTAACTGAACTTTATTTAATTCAATTTTAATTAAACTTTATTCAATTCAATTCACTTCTAATTATACTTACTCCATTCTATTCGATTCTAATTAAACCTTATTCAATTCTATACGATTCTAATTAAACTTTATTCGATTCTATTTGATTACATTCGGCACTTTGCAATCCTATTTTAATTTTATTAGATTCTATTTTAATATTTTATCCTATTGTATTTGGTTTTATTAGATTATTTTTTATTCTACTCTATTTTGTTCTATTCGATTTTATTAGATTTTATTCTGTTCTATTCGATTCTATTCTGTTCTATTCGATTTTATTCTGTTCTTTTCGATTCTATTTGACTCTATTCGATTTTATTATGTTCTATTCGATTCTATTGTGTTCTATTCGATTTTATTCTGTTCTTTTCGATTCTTCCTGTTCTATTCGGTTCTATTTGATTCTATTCTTTTTTTATTCTATTCTATTTTGTTCTATTTGATTCTATTCGATTTTATTATTATCTATTCGAATCTATTCTGTTCTATTCGGTTTGATTCGGTGTTTTTTTATTCTATTCAATTCTATTTGATTTTATTCTGCTCTATTCGACTTTATTCTTTTTAATTCTATTCTATTTTGTTCTATTCGATTTGATTTTAATGGCCGCTAGTCCATAAAATTGCATTTAACGCAATGGTAACGAGGGGGGAGGGGGTCTAAAAAGTCTAAAAAATTGGTAACGTAGTTTATGGACGGCCCCTTAGTCACTATTTGTATGAATCGCTCTAAAATCACCAAAATATTTTTAGAAATTAATCGTTAATATAATCAGTTAATTGAACTGTCTCATGATGTAATTAATTTTTGGTGTAATAAAAATTACATATTGGATATAAAGTTGAATGCCCACGTTTAGAGCCTATATATATATGATATAAATAGTTGTGGAACAGCCAAATGTACCAAATTAAGGGAGAATATCTAAAATATTTAAATTCAATCTTCATTAATATAGGATCAGAAGAACGGGAAATCCAATCGATTTGATCTAATGCCTGCGTATATATCTTCGATTTTGTAGTATACGAATGAGACCTTAATGTCGAAATTGAATGCCAATGAATATTCATATAAATGTTTCGCATTGACATTTCAAGTGTTGCTCTCAACTCTCGGACATAAACGACAGGGGCCAAATTTTTATAGACATAGACGAAAAAGATGAAGGATAAGACCAAAGATAAAACTAAGGTCCAATAAAAATGTTCATTTCGTAATCAATTAATTTTTTGCTGTTTATTATTAAATGTACCTAACAATAATAAGTCTAAGATCTTTATTATTTAAATTGTATGGTTTTTTAAAAAATTTTTTGTAACAAAATAATAATAATAATAATAATAATATAATAATTTTTAAAGTATGTATAGTATGACATACTTTAAGTACTAAAATACTCAAAGAAAAGGGAAACAGTTCGTTTATTTTTGCAATAAATATTATTATTTAGAAAAATAATAATAATATAAATAATAAAAATTAATTTTTCACTCACAGCATCCAGATATTTAGGCATCCTGCAAACATCTTAAAGGTATCTATATTGATCCTTAAAGATATATAACCTTCCATAGATATATCTCATAGCAGTCGTAGTTTTTAAGGATCAAACGATAATCCAAGGATTTTTGCAGGATATCCTAAATTTTTCTAAAACTGTCTCAAATATTAATCTAAAAGTCTAACAATTTTTGTATATTTAAAAAATATATTTTAATTTAAAAAATTTAAAAATATTTTAACTTTAATTAATTTTTCCATCATCTTGACTCGGGAGTGATCATTGACTTCAATACTTAATTATTTTAATTAAGATTTAATAATATAAAAAGCAAAACGTTTTCATTATTATGAGAAAAATAAAAAAAAAACAGAAATAATACAGAAGCAAAATATGGAAATCTCACCTGAAATGGGAAAAGTGGATTCGGGCACCATGTAAAATGGAAATTATCACTTTTCAATTTATAAACAAAGATAATTATTTCTTTTTTCTACACTTATCACCTTTCTTTTATTATAAAATTCACTAATAAAAAAATTAAACCACATTATAAAAACAGTCATTTTTTCTCCTCACATTGTTTTTTTTTTTATTTTCTTAGAAACTATAATTGCTTTGAAAATTAGAAGAACAAAATTCACAAATCACAAAACAGTGTAAAAAAAAAGTCGAATACAACAATGTGTTGAAACTTTGAACACACGAAATTTCTGTATAGCGACTTAACTGGAGAAAGACGGTTTCGGAATAAATGAAAGAAGACTTTTGAGGGAGGCACGTGCTTTCTATCGGATCGTTGTGAGTAAAGAGAAGGACAGGGAGAGAGAGAGAGAGAGAAAGAGAAAAAAGAGGGAGAAGGGAGTAGAAGATGATAAGTGGTTCGATGAAGAGAGAAAAGGAGAGAAAAAATAGAATGAGAGAGAGAGAGAAGAGGGGAAATAAAAAGATAGAAAAAAAGGGATACGGAATATACAGTGGACGGTATTGAAGCTGTTTTGGCACTGTAACTCGCGTGCCAGGCCAAAAATCACCAACCCCAGTAGTATCCAAGAGCGTTAGCTTCGCGAGGTGTGAGCGGGGGCGCGGGCGTGTATATTCTCGATTTGGGCGGATGGAAATCTGAGATTGCTCCATATCGGGCCGTGAGCAGTGTGCCACCAGGAGATGCTCCCTAATAGCAAAGTCTGACAGGCTCGGATTTAGAAGGAGACAAGACCATTCGTCAACTATAGTTGCCATATATAAACATTATATATATATAATTATATATACATAGGGGAAACAATTTTACTCTCGTAGAACATTTCAAAAATTCGATATTATTAAAATTATTTTAAATTTTGACAAATTATTTTCTTAGGAGAATAAAACACATCTCTAAATTTTTAACTCAATTCAATGAAAATTATAAAAATTACAGGTACTTAAAATTTTTTTTAAGAATAACATTTAACACTAGCTATAGTTTAATGTAAATGTTATAGAATCGTTCGCTTGTACATTCTTCGACGAAACAACAAATAATAACAAATTATAATTAACAAAAAACAAGATTGTAATAATAACTAGTAACAAATTGTAATTAATAATTAACAGAATTGTAATAAATAATATCAAATTATAATAAACAAATAACAAGATTGTAATAATAAATAGTAACAAATTGTAATAAACAAATAATAACAAAAATTGTAGGTAATAATAAATAATATCAAATCATAGTAACAATAAATTATAATTATAACAAATAGTAAGATTGTAATAATATACAGTAACAAATTGTAATTAACAAATAATAGAATTGTAATAATAAACTGTAACAAATTGCCAATTAACAATTAACAGAATTGTTATAATAAATCGTAAAAAATTGTAATTAACAAATAACAAGATTGTAATAATAAATAGTAACAAAATGTAATTAACAAATAACAAGATTGTAATAAATAAAAAACTATAATAAATAAAATTATAACATGTTAATAATATAACATTTGTTATTATTATTATTATTATACTTTGTTATTATTTATTATTGTTCGTTATTATTAATTATTTTTTTAATTAATATTATTACTATTGTATAAATTATTATTATTATTAGTTAAACATTTTTATAATATAAAATAATATAACAAGCTTGTTATAATTAAAACAATTTATAATTATAATATAACAAATAACATACAGAAATTGTAATAATAAATAATAACATGAACAAATAAGAAGATTGTAATAATAAATAGTAACAAATTGTAGATAATTAACCAATAACAAAAATTGTAACAAATAATAACAAATATAATTCATTAACAAATAACAAAATTGTAACAAATAATAACAAATATAATTCATTAACAAATAACAAGATTGTAATAATAAATAGTAACAAATTTTAATTAACAAATAACAGATTTGTAATAATAAATAGTAAATTGTAATTAACAAGTAACAAATTGAAAAAAATTATAACAAATTAAAATTAAGAAATAACAAAATTGTAATAATAAATGGTAACAAATTGTAATTAACAAGTAACAAAATTGTAAAAAATAATAAATTATAATTAACAAATAACAAAATTATAATAAGAAATGGTAACAAATTGTAATTTAGAAATAACAAAATTGTAATAAAAAATAATATCAAATTATTGTAACAATAAATTAAAATGAACAAATAACAAGATTGTAATAATTAATAGTAACAAATTGTAATTAATAAATAACAGAATTGTAATAATAAATGGTAACAAATTGTAATTAATAAATAACAGAATTGTAATAATAAATGGTAACAAATTGTAATTAGAAGTAACAAATTGTAAAAAATAATAACAAATTATAATTAACAAATAACAATATTGTAATGATAAATAGTAACAAATTGGAATTAACAAATAAACAAATTGTAATAATAAAGGGTAACAAATTGTTATTATCAAATAACATAATTCTAATAATAAATAGGAACAAATTGTAATTAAGAAATAACAAAATTGTAATAAAAAATAATAATTATACAATTATTGTAACAATAAATTATAATAATCAAATAACAATATTGTAATGATAAATAATAATAAATTGTAATTAACAAATAACAGAATTGTAATAATAAATAATAACAAATTGTAATTAACAAATAACAGAATTGTAATAATAAATAATAACAAATTGTAATTAACAAATAACAGAATTGTAATAATAAATAGAAACAAATTGTTATTAACAAATAACAGAATTCTAATACACAGAGAAAAATATAAAGAAACCTTAACTATTTTCATTGTAAAATCTAAACTGACAGAAACTTCTGCACATTGCTGATAACTGTTACTACGTTCGGAGTAAATTTTGCTACGATCAAAGTAAATTTTACTGACTTTTTACAAATTTCTTTTATGAATGTTGTAAAATTTAATTAAAAAATTAGTAAAATTTACTTCGAACGTAGCAAAATTTACTTCGAAAGTATAGTAAAAGTTACCAGAAATACGCAAAAGTTTCTGACAATTCAGGTTTAACTATGAATGTAATAAAAGTTACTTTATATTTTTCTCCATATAATAAATAGTAACCAATTGTAATTAACAAATAACAAAATAATAATTGTAATAAATAATAACAAATTATAATTAACGAATAACAAGAGAAATTGTAATAATAAATAATATCAAATTACAGTAACAATAAATAATTAACAAATAACATGATTCTAATAATACATAGTAACAAATTGTAATTAACTGATACCAGAATTGTAATTAACAAATAACAACAAAAATTGTAATAATAAATAATAACGAATATAATTAACAAATAACAACAAAAATTGTAATAATAAATAATAACAAATCATAATAACAATAAATTATAATTAACAGATAACAACAAATTGTATTAAAACAAACAATAATCAACAACTTAACAAATTATAATAATAAATAATTTACTGAATTATAAACAACAACACGTGTATTATAAAGTAGATCTGGATCTATATAGTCAATCTAATGAATTCAGAGGAATGAGTCAAACAAGTGTTCGGATAAGAATGGTTTTCAAAAAATGCATGTCTCGATAATAGAATATGAAATGTCAAAATCGTTTTTTGGATGCGATTTTTTAAACCAGAATAAAACTAAAAAGTATACTTCATTATCCAATGTCAAAATTTTATATAGGATGGAGAAAAAGTTCAAACTTAAATATTAAGACCAAAATTGATTTTTTACACCTGACATATATAAAAAAACCAAATATTTAAATTTACTGGAATTTTTATTTAAATTAAGGTTCGAAGGCATATCGTGTGTAAGATAGAGAAAATAAAAAAGAAAATAACAAAAAAAAAATATAGCCTATATGAGTAATAAAAACACAGTGGAGAAGAGAAAAAGGATAAAAATACAATTAGAGAAACATAAAGATTCTGAATTAAAAAGGCAACGAGTGCCAAATAAATAAGTAAAAAGCAACTCACGTTTAAAAGACAATTAATTAAAGTGACTCGGCAATGTTATGCTCATATTTAAAGCAAAAATAATTGAACATCGAAGAGAGAAGTTAAATGTTGTTGACAAAATGTTGTTCATAACTGCGAGCATAATCATTAGCTTTATGATTAATTCGTGGAAACCTCGCGGTGAAAACATTATTATGATATATTTAAATGTGATTTTAATCACATTAAGTCAATTTTAATACGACGAGGTTTAAAACAAGATGTATATTGTAATTTAAAATCCATTGATACAGGGTATTTTCAAAAGGAAAAAAATAATAGTTTATTGTTATTAATAATAATTTATTGTTATTATTAAATTTACTTTGTATTTTTGTTGAAACAATTAATAAAAAAAAATTATTGTTATTACTACCCTAGCACCTATTTTAGAATATTTTATACAAAATTTAAGTAGGTATGAGTATTTTTTTTTTTTTTTTAAATATTTCCTTTTGTTTCATTATACCAACCCTACATAACCTTGGAGAGCGGAATCCAAGGTATCTGTAGGCAGATTTCCCAAAATTCCCTAAGCAAAAAAAAAAAAAAAAAAAAAAAAAAAAAAAAAAAAAAAGTAGGTATGAGTACCTATGGTGCTCTTTATTTTCTTTAACTATTATCGCTTCTTTCTTCCTTTTTAATATTTCTATAATTGATTCGTGAATTTGTACTTCATAATATTTATATATAAAGCACTGACTTATCTTCTACGTACATTATTATTGATTTTCACACAAAATATCTTAAAACCAAAATGAATGAAAATTAATTTATTTATACCTATATCAATACAAATAAGAATATATTTTTGTAAATACTCATAGATTCAGTATATATATCATACTCTCAGACTTCGCACTCGATAATTAATTTTAAAAAAGTAGCAAAAATGTAGCTATCGAAAAATTAAGCTTGACGACCAAAAAAATTTATTTTAGACACTTTCACAAAACTTACAAAAATTCTATTCCATATTTTTTATTTTCCTGACTTTTCCCTAATTTTCATCAAAAATATTTACTTCTTTCTTATCCTGCTAAAAAAATAAATTCCTGCAACGAATTTTATTATTCATGAAAGATCTTAAATATTTATGAAAATAATTTAATTGTTGCGAAGAATTTTATACAAATTTTTAAATAATTGATTTCTTTCGACTAATTTTATGCAAATTCTAATTTAAATAATTGAATTTCTAACAAATTTTTATTATTCATGAAAAGAGTTTGAATTCTTACGAAGATTTTACAAAAAAAATTAAATAATTGAATTCTGTTTGAAAATTTTATGAAAATAGTAGATATTTATTAAATCATTGAATTGAGAAAAGTTTTTAAAAATAATTAAATTTTAACAAAGAATTAAATTAAAATTTTTGACAATAATTCAATCCTTGCCAACGATTTTATTAGAATTTTTAAAAATAATTGAATTTTCAAGAAGGAATTTATTACTTTTAAAAATAATTGAAATCTTGTAATGAATATTGTTATTTATAAAAATAATTGAATTTTGCTAAGGATTTTATTAAAATGCCTCAAAATAATTGAATTTCCGGGAATTATTTTGGTATTTATCTTCAATAATATTGAATTCTTTCGAAGAATCATTTATGTAAATAATTGAATTCTTGGGAAGAATTTTATTAAAATCTAAAAGAATAATTAAATTATATCAA